GTGTCCATTTCAGGGGGCATCCTACCTCTGCTATCCCCTTCTCTCCTATCATACCGACAGCCTGAGGAGCCAGGATCTGTGTGAATCCAGCTGAGAAAGTAATGAGGACGACAGGGTAGGTGACCCAGGCCAGGTACTGGAGCAAGATGCTGGTGTTCAAGCCCCGGGACATCCACTGCTGAGCTGTGGGAAGAGGACGTGGTGCTGGAACCCGATGCACACACGTACCCCTGCCTGGGCACAGGTGGAAGGGAAGGGGCACTAGAGGGCATTCACTGGGACAAAGACCACGATAGGAAAGAGGGTCAGATGGAAGGGTGGCAAGAAGCTGTGGTCTACTGGGGTGGCAGTGATTATAGACAGTCAGACTGGCGGGGAAGGTGGTCAAGATGCCTGGGCAAGGGTGGCATGGAGGAAGCAGGTTGGCTCTTCCCAGCCCTCCCCTGGCCAGCTCTTGCCCTCACCCTGCAGACAGGCAGCGATGGCATAGTCCATGGCCCAGCTGACCAGTGCCATGAGGAGCCCCAGCAGGACCAGGAAGATCCAGTCTTCACCAACCCTGGACACTAGGAACTTGTGGCAGCGCACAGAACAGACTGGGTGCGGGGAAGGGAAGAATGAGGAGGTTGGCACCAAAATCCTCCTCTCCTTGTTTCTCACCACGCCCACCCCATTGGCAGTGCTAATGGCCTCTGTCCCCCTCAGCACAGCATAGCCAGGTCCCCTGCCCCAACCCAGTTCTCACTGCGGCATGGAGCACAACGGCTCTGTCCATATTCCAAGAGCTCTGGGGGAGCCCGAGGGGAAGGAGGACCCCTCCAGGTTTCAGGCCCTCCCAGGCGAATCCGAGCAGCTTCCTCTTTGGCAAAGGCCCCGAGGTCTTGAGTATACCGGCCATACATCTGGAGCAGTGGGGGAGATGGGACGTTAGTGGTCATGGGCTGAGTGGGAATGAGGGAGGGCTCCCGGGGCCTCCACTCCCCTCCTCCCAGCCCCCATGCCGTATACCCCTCTGGACCCCACAGTTCCCACTCTGGCTTGAGCTGTGGGAACAATGCACATTGCAGACTGTGGGGGCTGTCCTGGCCAGAGTGATGAGGATAGCTAAGGTACAGGGACACAGGTCTGGGGGTGGTAGAATAATCAGTCCTCTTCTCACAGGCCTGGGGTGGGAGCACTGCGGAGGAGTAAGAGGGAAGGCCTCAGAGGAAGAAAACACGGAAAACCTACAGCACAGTGTGAAAGTGGGAGGAGGGAAGGTCAGAGAAAGAGGGACGGTCAAGGGCACATGGGCGACAATAAGAACCTCCAAGCTGGGGGCAGCTGAGTCGGGCCTCGGAGCAGGCGCGGCCCCAATCCTTATCACGTTCCTGCTGTGCCTCTGGCCTGTGACCAACTCAGCTGCACCCCTCCTACCCACCCTAATCCCCTTGTCCCCATTCTCTACCGCCTCCCCCCCAGCCTGCCAGCCCAGCTGGGAGTGGAAAGCCTCTCCGGGTGGAGAGTGCTTGTGGCCTCAGCCCAGTGGGAGCTGCCTTGAGTCCAGTGGCGGGCTGCCTGGGCAGGAGGACAGCAGAGGCTGCGGATGGCTGGCCGTGACTGTGGATGCTGGGGTGATGGGACGGGAGAGTGGCCGAGCCATGGCTAGACCTGCCAAGCTGGGCGTGTGTTGGGGGGTGGGGAGGAGTAGATTCCGGCTGCCACCCGCAGAGCTTCGGGACACAAAGGGCTCCTGTTGGGGCTGGATGAGGGGGAGGGAGGGAGAGACAGAGACAGAGAGAGGGTGAGAGATAGAGTGAGGAAAGGAGAAGGAAAGAGAAGAGAGGGGACAGACAGAGGAGAAAGGGGAAAAGAGGAAAGAGGCAAGGGGAAGGGACAGAGAAGAGAAAGATGGGGAGGGCGGGAAGAGAAGTGGGGGAGGAAAAGAAAAGAAAGTGGAGAATCAAGAGCTACGGGTGTAGGAGGGGGAGTGTGAGAGAAAGACAAAGGGATAGAGAAGGGGAGGCTGGAGCAGAGGGTGCCCAAGAGAGCTTGACCCTGAGAGCTCATTCCAGAGATAGAGTGGCAGGAAGGAGATGGAGCACGGTGGTGCAGCAGAGGCCAGGTGCCTGGCTCCCGCCCATTGCCCCATCCACGGCCTGTGTGGACTGACATCTCTTCCCCATCCCAAGGGCCTGCTCCCCTCCCCTCGCTCTATCCCCACCAGCCTCCTGCCCCCACCCATCTATTTCATCCAGTCACTCTCTCATAACTAGGCACCTCCCAGACTCAGTTACAGCCCCGGGCCCTCTCCTCCCCAGGAGACTCCCTCCCTGCCACCCTCCTGGGCAAATTCCAGCCCAAGCTGGTAAAAAGGAGCCACGGCCATTCCTTTCCCTAGGGCTCGGTCCTACACCCAGTGACAGAGAAGGGTCAAATGGCTTCTCAAACACCAGTTAACAATGGTGGCCATGAGTCAGCTAGGAGCCCAGGACCCCCACTCTTAATGAGGTCAAGGGACACCCCTGGCGTGGGTGGGGGCTGGATACCCAGAGTCAGCATGGACAAAGGTCCCAATTCCCACACCCATTCCTGCTTGACTCATCCTCCTTAAAGCTCCTGTCCCCCAGGGTGGTAAGCCACCTTTTTCCCAGAGAATCTACTGAGGTGTCCTGCCAACGTTGAGTGGCGAGTCCCCAGGGACAGGGGCTGGCGCTGGGTTTGGGTCTGATCATCTCTCTCCACACTCTTGATTCTATGCTGAGCACATCGCCATGCACAGCGTCCTGCACACAGGGAATGTCTTGGATGGGGGCTATAGGAGTGTGGAGAAAGTTCAGTGGCGTGAACGGTGCTGGTGAGGGGTAGTGGGGTGCAGAGACTTAGGCCTAGGTTGTGAGGAGGAGGAGCAAAGAAAACGTGTGTGTTGTGGAGGGGAGTGAAGGGAAGGACACCTAGGACAAGCACCTGGTGTCCTTGTACTCTGCAGGCCCTCAGTCTCAGCCAGAAGCCAGCATGCAACTGTCCATCCCTTCGGCCATGCAGCCTCTCAGACTCCCGAGCCTCAGTTTCCCCAGCTCAAAAGGCTGGAACGGGATTAGGGGAAGCCCCTGGTCCTCGCGCCTCCTAGGGTAGCCCGGCGCGGCGATCCCGCAGCGCACTCCCCGGGGCTCGGCTCCACTCACCAGGGTCTGCTCGTACTGCAGCGCCCGCGGCTCCATCCCTTCCTCC